TTTAAGAGGAACCAGGTGTAAATAAAGAAAATCAAAAGGAACTATACGGCTTTCGAATCTTACCCGGAAACAGTTCGCGAATATTTTTTTAACTACACTGGGAAAAAAAAAAAAACATATTGGATCTAGAGTCCAGACTCTTGAAAACATTGACAAGAAAAAATACTCTTAATTCAATCAGATTTAAGCTTACATCAAAAGGAAATCCGCTCCAATTAAGAGGCTTGGTTCTTGATTTAAGCTTAAATCTGATTGAATCAAGAGTATTTTTTCTTGTCGATGTTTTTCAAAGTCTGGACTCTAGATCCAATGTGTTTTTTTCCCCCCAGTGTAACTAATTAATAATTGTATTCATACATTTGTTTCAAGAGAAATCTCTTGGCGGCAAATTGAAGAATATCTTTGCTTAAATCAAGTTTTTTCAGTGTGGAAGAGAGAAATTTTACGTGAAGAAAGTATAAATATTTCGACAGCGTCACGCATGAATGCCCGCGATAAGCTTTGCAACAACGGGCAATCGTAGCGATAGCCGCGCCTCGCCGTGGGCAGGCTCAATGCGAAAAAAACCAGGTAATTCCAGAGCTGATCGATTTGCAGGTCACTTAGGTGAGTCGTCCGAGTCTTTCTTCAAGAGTGAGCTCCTTTCTCTCTCCTTACGGTGTCCCATATTTTCAATGTCACTGAAACCGAAACTGAGGCGAAGGGCAATGTCACGTGAGTCGCGCTCCGTTAGCCGTCGAGCCTCTCGCGATCCGCCACCCGAGGACTCCTTCTGGACCTGTCGACCTTGTCCAAGTGTGCCCGGCACCGGCTCACGAGACTAGAGGTCACGAGTTCGAATCTCGGCCGAGGTTCCCCTCGGCTAGCCCGGCCCGTGCTTCATGCTCCATCTCCGACTATTAATAGCGTGTGGGTCTCGCTCTGACGTCGGCCGTGGCGACGGCGGTGGTTCGCGGTGGCGGTGTCCCTTTGCGTAGGGTGCCTTTTTAAATACAGGGTGTCTCAGGATTGAGTACGAATATTGAAGGAGTCGATTCTTTGGGTCAAAATACGATGTTTTTGAGGTGTAACTTTTTTCTCAAAAACACTTTCCCTGGGGGCCACGGCCCCCAAAGTTGGAGAGAAAAATCGTCTTTCTATCACTGTGACAATGTTTACCAACCAATATTAATGATAATTGGTAAATGAAATGGGGGGGGGGGGGTTTAGCGCTTTTTCCATTTTTGACCTCCTAAAGAGGAAAGGGGGGGGGGGGGGGGGGTAATTTTTAGCGCTTTTTTATGCTTGACCTTCAAAATGGGGCATTCAAGGGTAGAGGGCGTCCGTGAAGAGATGGAGAGATGCCAGCTTCCGGAGGATCTCTACCATGACAGATTCCTGCGGAGAGTAGGCGTCGCAGAGCGCCCCTAGCGCGCCGTAAAAGCGGCTTATACATACATACCTTCAAAATGGGAAAACGCATTCTGATGGGAGGTTTAGGGGGATATCAAACCTAATAGTGGCCAAAAGTAAGGTTTCCAGCGACTAAAATTGATTTTTGATGTCGCCTCTAAATTCAGCGTTGAAAACTATTGAGAAAATATGCCTAGCGTTTTTTCGCAATGCCTCATCGTTTGAGAGATAATAAGGACCAACAGTGGATAACAGGAGGATAACAGCACCCCCAAGGAAAGCGTTTTTGGAAAAAAAAAGTTATACCTTAAAAACGTCCTTTTTTGACCCGAGGAATCGACTCCTTCGATATTCGTACTTAATCCTGGGACACCCTGTATAGTATGCCCACTGAAGGATCTTATCATGACGGTGTAACGTCTCGGTATAACAGAAATTATTTAGACTTCCGTCAGATTTTGATGTTGCGCTCCATTGATTTTAAAATAGCTGCGCTTGGTTCGAAACCGGTAAAAAAGAGACTAACTAATGAGTGGAGGGAAAATAAATTAAAATTTCGACAGACTTTAAGCTGAAGGACCGGACTCCTCTTGACAAACGGATGTTGATATTAATGAGGACACCTTGATGCTACTAATCCCGCTCCGAGGATGTCCGTGTTGCGCGTTGACAGATTGAAGGCGCCGCACATAGTCATAGGCAAGCCAAGAAGTAGCAGCACCGAATGAACAATTTTTTGAACCATTGACTGAACCAGAATGATCCGACGGAGCCCCTTACGTTAAAATTTTTTACAAGAAGCGTATTTTCTTTTTTTTTCCTTTTTTTTTAAAAAAAAAAAAAAAAAAAAATATGTACACCCTTCCTTGCTGTGACGATCCTTGAGACGCAACTTCTCAAAATAAATATGCGCAGATTTGGCCTCCATTCTCCCGAGGCAAGTACCTGTTTCCCGTGAAATCGGCGTTAAACACTGGAGTTTTTCAGGATTACACTGGAACCAGTGTAATAGTGTTGGTGATTTTTGCAGCTTTTCAGAATTTTTCACTTGATCACAGCTAATTTTATCCGTATAATTTTTGTATTCCTCTCGTTGAAAATTTCGAAAATGCCATCGTTTTTTCTGTGATTTCATACCAATGTTCCAGGGAACAATCGATGTTTACCCCGCACGTAATTACCAGTATCCCAGAGAGGGTTAATTTTTTAAATATTCTCGTATCATCCACCCCCCTCGCCCGAAAGAGTTCTCCCCTGCCCTCTCTTTTGAATGATCATATCCTTCAGATTGAAATCCTAGACCAGTCACTATCGAGGCAGTGGATTTTCATCGATAAAGTACAATGAGTTTCAATGCAATTTTTGTGGCAGGAATTCATGAGCTCCACACGAAGAATATTTTAACAAAAATAAACACATGTTTATAAAAAGAATGTCTTGATATCAATTAAATCAAATATAATCTGACTTACTATTCCCTTAGTCCCCCTCAACCAGGTTTTTTTCTTCGTTTAGTTTTAAGAGACATGCCTTTGTAGAATACCCTTTCAATGAAGAACTTCTACAAGCAAATTGTATTGTCTCATATGGCTTTTCCGACATGAGACATTGAGAAAAACTGGATCACTCCTCTGGATCATTCACTGACAGTAATTTCCATTTATAAATTGAATTGATTACACAGACCCTGTAAAGTTTTCCATTGTGTTCAGCGATTGGAAACAAAAGTAATGAATGTTCCAAGAAAAATTACTCTTGACATTTGGACCATTATTCAATGACATCACTTAATGATTTTTCCGCGGTGTATAATTTTTAATTTTTTTCCCACCGTGCGACGATTACAAGTCAGCAAAGCACCGATTCCTATTTCCGGCAGAGTTTTCCTCGTGCGATAATGGATTAGACGGAGCGGGAAAGTGTTCGACCATACCGAGTTGTGAGTATCTATTTTAGTCCGAATCGTGAGTGCTGAGCCGTATAGGATGCAAATTGATGACTCGCTTCCATAATGAGTGCCAGATGGCAGGGGGGCGTTGTCCCTGTGACCTTGATTCTGTGTCGTTGACTCCGTCCGTCCGCTGGCCATTGCACCGAGCCCCCGAATCCCCGATTCCACCCCCGTCGCTCGACTAAATCAATTACTCGATTGCCTCCCCTCACTGTTAGACGTGTTACAATCGGTGACATTCACGTCAGCAGCCTTTAAATTAAACGGGTATGAGTTGTATTCAGGAATGAAAACACAACGTCTAACTTGTCTCAAAAAATATAAACTAACCCGAGTGCGCTAATAGATATAATGCACGGATCGATGTCGAATGAAAAGACCGGGAGACACCGCGGATTTATTGGGTCTATAGACGCGCGCAAGGTCAGTGATGTTGACCCGGCTAAATGTGCACATCCCCATGTGGGAGGACGGTGTGAGCTTCTATATTAGAGGGAGGCCTAAGAAGCTCTCCCGATGATTTTGAAATGCAATCCTAATATATCTCAAACGCAATCTGAGACATTTTTTGGCACATATCATGAGGGAGAAGAAAGAGGGATGACTATCCCACTCTCCATGAGCAAATACTTCTGAAGTCTGGAATTCTGGATTGGTTTAGTTCCCGTGCCAGTAATTATTTATTTGGACGTATTTATGCTAAAAGGAACTATACGCATAGGGTTTGCGTGTAACTTAGTTCCTTCTAGCATAGATACATCCATTTTAAAGCTTGCTATGACAGCTATCGGGTGTTGGCACCGCGGTAGTGAATCGTATCCTTCTAAGTTCTACCTCGCTAGTTGAAGTCGTTTGCAGCGGGCTTAAATCGTCGCTCTTATGGCGCAAGGGCGTATCTCTATTATTGCATGAGCTCCGGAAAGCATAGAATCATACAGGGCATGGCTCACATGAAAATTGAAATAGGCCCTTACGCGAGAGGAACGAGGAAATAATTTGCCGTTTTCCCTCTATGTGATGATACAGCACCCTATCGTGCCGATTTAACATCTCACAAGTTTTTTTTTTCTGTTTGAAAAAAAAAAATAAAAATTACTGACGGTTGCTGATGTACCTAATCTTTTTTAAATCTGAAGATGTTAAGTTAATAGAATTCAGAAAAACAGGAGCATTTGGGGTACTGCCCCACATTTCGTGCATTTTCTGAATATAGTGAGCACCTTTTTTTTGACAAGGGACGTATTTTGAACAAGAGACATGAAAAAATCCATTTTTCCAGTGCAAAATATTACGTGATACTAGTATAGGCTAAAAAAATATTTGGCATTTTCAGTTGCAGAGAACTTACCTACATTTTACGTATTGAATATTTTTACACGAAAAATGTACGAAAATCACGTGAATCATGTTTGATAACATTACAATTTTTGTATAAAATATTTGTGATTCGAAATTTCTTTTACATAAAAAACCGCTCACCTATCAATCATGATATTTTCAGATATTTTCCCCATTTTCAAAAATAAAAACACCCTGTATGTAAAGTTTATTTTCAATTCAACTAGGGTTTCAAATGGTCGAAAAAATAACTTAAATGAATGCAAAAGAGAGATAAATCGAGGTCAAATCAGATCTGTGAGTTTAGTTTATGACTTACCCTTCGCAGAACTCGAAGACAGCATCCTCCTCTTTGAAAGGATAATCTGCATTAGATTTATCATCTTCTGTGGGGGTGCGACTGCATCGGAAACAAAACAAAAACAATTGCATGATAATTTTTGCGGAAAATTTTGCAGAAGATTATAGGTCACATCGTATTTAGTAAGTAATATGACCTATTCCAGGACAATTATTTTACAATAATTAGATTCATGCATATCATATCTAAAACATACTTCATCCTAGTATATTTTTATACGATCTAGTATTGGTTCATTGGAGAGATGTGTTGATTACCCCTCTGCATACCTGACTAGATTCACTCTTTTTCTGACGAGGATGCACCCATAGGGAAAAGAATCATTGTTCTTACAAAGCTCATAGTTTACTTTAGGCCCTACCTTCTTACATTGTACATTGCACATTACATTGTACCTCGTGGTAACAATAATTTGATCCTGATAATAATGCCGGCCGGTTCGAATTGTTACTATGCCTGAAATCATAACTACAAAAGTTACCTTGTAACTACGACCAGAAAAGTAGATGGGACCAGGAATCCTCTGTGAGCAATCTAAGAACAACGATTTTTTAATTTCTGTGCTTGAATTTTATTTTGATTCTGATAAGCTTAGATTAAGACGTCATCTTTTTCTAAAAATTGAACATTTTTAACTGCGGTAATTTTTGACTGAATTAAGTCGGTGGCAAGACGCAAGGCAGGATCGCCTCACTCGAAATTTGAACCGTCGAAAGCTGTTTTAATGAAAAAGTCAACTCATTCGCACTTTGTTGAGATCAAAATGCAAAAACACCACGTTGCCTCCCAATTTGACGTTTATTTCACCTTGTTTGTGGAGGTTAGTGAAGTTCAGGAGTCCCTTGACTTGTTTCACCACCACGTGCGCACCTCGCCATGCCAGCAAAGGGAATGCAAAAATGCGTTCGCTTGCGCCGAGGTATTGGATTACTTAATCACGTATTGAGAGCTTCAGAAATCAATCTAGTCTTTCATGCATCGACAGCGCTAAGCTTTGCATTCACGTGTTCTCACAGGCTTTTAGAAGTATTCTAAACATACTATGAACAGCACGGAAATTTGTCCGGTTGTGAAAAATGTGAAGGCTTCGAATGTATTTGAGAGAAAAGTTAATGACGCTTTAATCTAGCTGGAGAGGAGAATAAACCGATCTCACTTTTTGCTGCATTCCTTTCAAATCTCAAAATAAGCGTCGTCATTGAGCGCTGCTTAGTGTACCCAGACTACTTGTTTTGGCCTAATTTTCTTGTGATTTCAGGTTTGGGATCGGGGACCAGGCTAGTTGATCTGAAAATGGAGCCCAAGGCATTCAAACTCTATGGTCGCAAAGTTCAATTACGCTCCTGAGAGGGTATTTCTGGAGCGGTTCCGATCAGTTTCCACCACTGAAAGCCTCAACGTTTACTTAGAAGACCAGTTTTGCAGTTATAAAAGTGAGAAATTCAAAGTATTAGCCCACTAAAATCAAAATATTTCCTTCGGAGAATACACTAGTATTCGTTTCAAATACTTAGGAATTATCACCCAGTCTTTTTCTGAGAAACTGAAATAATATCCGGTGAAAGAGTCATAAACTGACGAAGGGCTATGCTTATTAGGTTAATGCTCCGTCCACTTCGAAAGTTACCCTGGTAAAAATTGGCGATAGGAGCTGCGTTTCAAAATACCATAGGAGTTCTTACAGCCAACTAAAGAAGGCTATTGAAAATCATATAACTGGCTGTAGAAAGCGGAGCAAATCATATAGTCGGGCTATAGTTCCTATCGCCGGGGTTTACACTTTATCGCCATTGGCTATAAAAGGCTACAAGAAATTGTGTGTAAATTCGTGTGCTTTGGAAATCATTAAGTTTGATACGGAACTACCTTAATATTTACAAAACACACATTATATTTTCCTTTAAAACATATTTTGTTTTCATCAATTAAAATGAGAATAGTCCATGCAGGAGTGTGCAAACATTTCAAAATCATGAGTTGAAAAACGCTGACTCCGCGAGATTAAATATTAGAGCCTAACACAAAGCGGAGCGGCGACGCACTGGCGCCTACGAACCTAACTGGGATACCTCACGCATTGCGCAATGGGTGAAGTATTCCTCTTAGGTTTGTAGGCGCCAATGCGCGTTCCGCACTCTCTGCCCGCCCGCTGCGCCGCAGCGTGCCACGGTGTCTGGAGCAACTATTTCACTCCAGAGGTATTGCACAGTATCATAAGAAATTGAAGGTGCTCCAACATATTAAAAATGACAGGCATCCTTCAAAAGTACGGAGCTTTCCTCACAAAATAAATCAAGATACTACGGCACAAAAAGAGAGCGGTAGTCCAAAAACTAACTAAGTCCTGGCATCCGTATTTAGTAACGTTTAGCATGAACTTTATCGTCTGGCTGTTGCTTAATCGCCATCGGCTATGAAAGGCTATAAGAAATTGTACAGCCGGCTACAGAAGCTATTGGAAATCTTACAGCCGGCTTTAGGTCAATGGTATTTTGGAACACAGATTCTACTGACAATTTTTACCAGGGTACACGGCGGGTGAGGGTCTTAGCTGACGTTAACAAGCGTAAACGGGTGGTGGGGTGGAAGTGGAGATGGGTAGGCTTTTGAAATTCCCGTGTAATTATTCATAGGTATTATGAGTATTTTTATAATACGTTGTCTGTAAAGGGTGCAATGAATCGTCGCTTTATAGACATGTCTCAGCTGAAAACTGCCCCCGTATCATTATTTCATGATGGAAAGCAGTTTGCTTATAATTTACCCTTTTTAACCGCTTTATTTTGAGTTGTGATGAAGTTTTGAATAGTTTGCAATTTAGAGGGATGGGTGCCGGACACTGCGGCAGAGACGAACTGGCTCGGGCGGCAAGGAGGCGATCATTTCCTAAAGTTCGGTCACGAGGGGTGCCCAGAGGTCCTTTTAGACAAATTTTAGGGGCCCCATCCACTCATCAATGTATTTAGCAGAGTATTTTGAGCAGGACGGCGTGGACGTCCTGTGAAAGGTTGGCGACAAGGGGTGGAGGAGGAGATCAGAAGGTGCCAATTGCCTGATGATCTCTGGGAGGATAGGGGGCAATGGCGATTGGGCGTCGCAGAGCGCGAGGCGGCGCTGTAGAAGCGACTTTATGTATGTATTTTGAGCAGGCCTTTTATTTTAAACCTTCTCTTCCTCCTTTTATAGGCCCCCCCATTCCTATTACGGCGGGGCCTGCCTCCTGGAAATTTCAGAGCGAGCTCACCCCTGGGGTCCGCGTCAACTTAACGTATTTCATATTAATTTTTGCTTTTAAAAAAATTCCACGAAAGCCCGGCACTGCATCGCGAGGCGTTCCAGGGGGAGGTGAGGAGCGTCTAAAACCATAATTCCAGCGTTAAGTAATTTAAGAATGACCTCTGAAATATAAAATCTCGGAAGAAAAGGGAACGCACAGGATATGAGGATTGCATTTCGTTAAAAGGAACCAAGAGCATTCCGATGTTGTTAGGATTGTGCAACTTACATTCTTTGCAACACAATTACTGAAATCGTGCAAAAAATTAAATTTATAAAGGTAATTTTTTATCTTCTTTGGATGATCAGTGTATATTTGCAAGGTAAACAAAATTGCACAAGCCTAGCGACATTTGAAGTGCTCTTGGTTCCTTTTTGCAGAATGCAATCCATGACGAGTTTTCTCATTCTGGCGTGCCTCGGATCCATTCCTGCGCTCCCCTTTTCTCCCGGCTGATCCAGACTCCAGAACCAAAAGCGGCACGTCATCGATGCAACAAGCGGACACGTCTACTCTAATATGGGTGTTATTTCAAGTATTGGTGCGTCGCGATACCGGGTACAAGAGCAGAGTCGCTATTGCCGCATCGTGGCGAGGCATTCGGCAACGGAAAATGATCATCGAGCATGTTGGCAAACGTGACGCTCTGCGCCGCGCCCGGTAATCTCCCGCTTCCACGCAACACGTTTGAGCACACATGACTCTGCCGCCCCCCCCCCCCCCCCCCCNTCACTCGCTCTCCCGCTACGGCGAACCCATTTCACGGCGCGCGACGCAACCGCCAAACCGTAACCAATCACAGGTCACCGCGACCATTTTCAAATGAACCCGGCACCGAATTCGATTCAAGGTGCGCCACTCCACTCGTTTCGAGCATGCCGCCTGTTTGCAGACGGAATAACCCGATTGTCCCTGTTGACCGGTGACACTAACCGTTGACCGCTCGTTTCACTGACTCCGAGCGGATGCCTATCGCTGAGTCAACAGACGTGCGTCCTCCGGGGCACGTTGAGCAGTCTCATTCAAGCTCGGTGAGCAACGCAGATAGGTGGGTGAGCTCGAAAACGCAGCTAAGGTTTTGGGCACGTTTTATGAGCTCATATCATATCTAAGTTTAACTTCGATCTGTGGAGAGAACTGATGACCCAAAACAATTGCATCTTAATTCAGAGAGGAGAAATTCGTTAGGAGGGAGCTAAATATGTCTTGGGAGGGAAGAATATTATCAGCACCCTTCTTCGAAAGGCACTACTGCCGTGATAAGTAAGAACGCCGTATGAACATTCGAGAGTTGCCAAATTTCCCCGAATAAAACATGTATTTATTAAGAAAGTTATGCATCTTCCTCATTGAAATTTTCAGACCATTTAGATAAAATTACGAACAAAATCTTCTGAAAAATCGGAGAAAAAATATTCACAAATTTTCCTGAAAACAAGCGATTTGTCGAAGGAGATTTGGCAACGCCGATGGTTCATACGGCGTTCTTCCTTAGCACGGCAGACTAGGATAGGGCAGTTTCCGACGAGCTTATGGTCCTGAAGTTGGTTTTTTGACATTGCTCTGTATTATTCGCAATCAATCTTTTCGACATATTTCAGGATTACAAGCCAAACTAGAGTTCAAGAAACAGACTCTACGGAGAAAAAAAATTGTGCCTTCCCTAAACAAATACGTAACGTTGATGCGAAACACAGGGGTGAGTTAGCTCCGAATTTTTTTGGCGGCGCGGCCGGCTCCGTCGAAATGGGAATGGAGGGGC